GGGAGGAAGTGGGGGAGGGAGGGAGGAAGAATGCCCCATTATATCCAAGGCTGAAGCAAGAGATATTAAAGCAAAAAATGGTTAATACCAAGTTTTGCTCTTCCAGTTGGAAGTTCTGGTCCATCCACAACAATTGCCTTCAGCTGTTTTCCCACACTAAAGATTTTGGATTTGGAAAAGAGGAGAGAGAGTGGGAAGAGCTTTTAGTGGAATATATTATGCTGTACTGAAAAATTTTAAACGCCTGAGTGCAAAGTTGCAGTCACAATGCTCCAAAAGGGTCAAGGGACTTGATTATGTTAAAACTGAACAACAAGGTCAATCCAAGGATTTGCAATTTATTTCCTGTGTCTTGAGCCTTCTTATAAAACGGCAGGAAGACAGTGTACTTACAGAATGTTTTGGTTTGCCTTAGACTCAGAATAAGAAGTCTCTTAATTCCCTGGTCTTTGATCTTGAATCATGGCCTCCAGCTATCACTAGCCAGTGTTTTAGGGCATCTGTACACGAGCACCAAGGCTGCTCCAATGTAGTATAATTACAGCATGTTGGAGCAGACTCGATTTATTGAGTCTGCTGGAGCATGGCAACGACCGCGCTCCAACAGCCTCACGCGTCCCGTGTATCAGTGTCTCCGAGCTTCAAAATGGTGGCAGGGGCGTTTGAACTAAAGTTTGTTGAACAAGCTTTAGTTCAAAACCCCCCCCCACCATTTTGACGTGTGGGGACACTGACATGCAAGACGCTGCAGTGCTTTAATTAGAGCGGCTCTCAGAGCCGCCCTAATTAAAGCGCCACCCCCACAGCCCCCAGAGCACATGTAAAAGTGCCCTTAAAGACTAACTACAAACTCTCCCTCTTCCTGAAGGAGGGTGTTTGTATCCAAAAGCTTGCAAAGAACACATTTTCCAACTATTTGGTTGGTCTAATAAAAGATACCAGATTTACCCAAAGAACCTTCTCTGCTTAAAGACATTCTTGGTCATTGCCAAGAACTTAGTCCATTCAACCCTCTTTTCTCCCCCCATTAATAAGACCTCAAATATTCCATCCAGGAAGAGAACACACCAACTGCTGAAACTTCCTTACTCTGACGAAGGGTTTTTGAACCCGAAAGCTTGCTTAATAAATATTCTCCAACTATATGAGTTGGTCTAATAAAAGATATCAAATTCACCCAAGGAACCTTGTTGCCTATGTCCTTAGACTAACACAGCTACAACCCAAACCCCTGCAAATATTACAGAAGCATTTTCAAAGATTAAAATGGTGCTGAAAGCCACAAGACAGTAGAGTCAGTATCCAAACCTCATGCACAAACTTTCCATTTCCATTTATAATCACTACCCTCTCTGCTTTAAATTACCACCATAACCAGAACAGGAAAGTTACTTACAGAAAGCTGCCCAAACTCTACACCCCTGGGAGACTCACCATTACCAAGTTCTGAACTGAGCAAGATCTTTCTACTAAGAAACACATACTCTGCAAAGATGGAAAGAATAGGATATAAATCTAATTTGGTCACCTACCCAATTCAAGCACAGATTATTTGTAGCCTACAGAAAGGAAATTTTCCCCAGTGACAGTGAAATACAGGTCTCTGTTAACATTACAGGATCAAGTTTGAAAATTTGCTCCACATGTCTTTTTTGGAAACACAAAGTTTAGACCAGGACGGAAGAAGCAATAAATTCAGCATTAACAATATCCAATTGAGAAAAAAAAAAAAGCACACAGAGGAAAGTTTCCTTTTCCTGAACAGTAAGAGCTTAACCTCTGGATTGTGCTATATAAAAGCAATGAGAAGACTTTTTCTTGGCTTTACCTCGCCTTACAGCTCCCTTCTCCCCAGTCCTCAGTCAGGCTGCTGTTACTATGAGAGGAACATTATTGGCAAAAACTAAAAACAAGCTCCTACTGCCACTGCTGAGCAAAGCAAACTGAGTTGCTTGTGGCTTCCTTAGGCATTGCTAGCCAGTGAGTTAATAAGATCTGTATGTAGTTGGTCTGGTCTTTCTTCCCAAAACAGCTGTATCTTAGGAACAAAGTACTTTGCCCTGTAACAGCCAGCTATACTAGGAACATAAATAAAGCACAGCGCCAAGAAGCATCCCAACACTTGGATCCTAGAACAGCTCAGACTCGTACAGTTCTCACCAATATTCTTCTCAGAACTACCTTATCCCATGATTGTCCTTTGGGATTTGAAGTGCAGTTTCGCTTTAAACAGCACTGGATCTACTATGAATTTCCACCAATTCTTATTTCCTTCACACTCTGTCAAACAAACTTGCTTGCCATGTGTCACCAGCCCAATGATATTATGCTTCCCATGCTAGTGCCTTGGTGGTCACCTGTCAGTACTAGCCAGTCTACTATAATTACCAGTAGATACAATACCATTTAGTTCATACAATGTGGCACAAAAAGCTTTAAACCAGAACTAAATATCAAACAAAAAAGAAAGGGGAATAGCAAAGGAAAAGAAAAATTAAATGGTCTGCAAAGAGTGTAAGATGATGTTTTCAGAGATTTGAAGTGTGCTGGAGAAGTGATGAGGCAGAAATATAGCCAGGCAGGGACCATAAAGAAGGCTAGTGCATAGTAAGCAATAGTGAACAAAGGGCTGGCAAATGGAAAGGAAGGTACTCAGTAGCTGCCAGCCTGTCCTCAAATTCAAAAGCCTGACAGCACAACTATGCTAATCCCATGTTATAAAAGCAGGCATAGACACCTGATAATAGGACAGATCTGGCCTCCAAAACCTAGGCTATAGAGAAAGACTTCTTTGAAAATCATATAGGCTTTCTTCTTAAGAGGTTTATCCTAATTCTATTTAGGAACTATGGCCTCTCTGACAATACTAGCATCAAAGAGCACATCAACTTCTCCAGCTCCTGCATGATCAACAGCTCAGTTCTGATGGATTTATTTTTGGGGAGAAATTATTTTTTTTAAATCCCTTGCATATGAGCACAGATCATTTAAAATCCTCCAGATATTCCTGGGAAGCCTTATTACAAAAGAGAGGCTCTCCCTACCAGCTGATAGATACCTTGAAATGGTCATTTTCATGGCAATAAACACCAACCACACAGGTTTTTAGCCCTGGGCTAGACTGGATAAACATTAATAAAGGGACAGGCAGAAATCCAATCCCAGCTTCACTGCTAAAGGAAAGCATGACAGCAGGGGGTTTGTTTTGCTTCCTTCTAGGGCATCAGTGACACACTTCAAGCTATGGTCTGCAGCTTATTTCAGTACAGAAGAATTCTCTTTGATATATTCTATGGGGATGTTTTATTTAAGATGCCACTCAACATGCTCCCTGAAGGAAGCCTTCCCAGGTCAATTGGGAAGTGCATGTTTTCAGTTACTGCTTTGCATGTGTATAAAGCTGTTAAGGATACATCTCAAAGGACTTGCTTACATTAAAGCTTCCCAACAGTCCCATGACATAGCTCTGATTACAAAAGATGAGGAAAGCCTAAGGAGACAAAGCAAGTCAGCAGCAGCTGAGGTTGGAATTAAAGCAGTCCTTGCTTCTCCCCTTCATCCCCTAATCCAGGGGTGACCAATCCAGCACGTGTGCCACAAATGGCACAAGCAGTCAGTGTGGCATGCAACAGATCATGGAAGGAGCGGGGAACAAAAAGCAGAACAGATCAGGCAAGCAGTATAGGGCAGAGAGCAGAAAACAGAACAGCAGATTGGGCAGGGAAAGGGGATCAGAGTGCCACTCAGGAAGGGTGGAGGGCTTACCATGTGGCATGCCTGCCAGAAAGGTTGATCCACAATGCTCTAACCATTAGACAATAGTACCATGCTTCCCTAAAGCACCAACTCTCTTGCCTTATTATTGTACAACTGCTGGCCCTGTATGCTCCTCTTCCACAGCCCCTAATATCCCCATTGGAAGCAACATGCTGCATTGTTCCCACTAAGCATGTCCTATCTCATCACCAGAGTCTTTAGCTTCAGGAGGATTGGAGACACTTACCATACAGGACCCGGGAGGCAACGACCACAGGCAAGGAGCCTGCCAGGACAGTCCTTCAATGAGACAGTCCCCGACAGGACTGCCACAGGGAACATGAGATTTCAGTGCCAGGACACCTTTCATTTCCCACCCCTCAGAAAGCTGACTGCACTTCCAAAATGTGTTCAGACATTTAGCTTATTCTTTGGCACTGGGAAGAGCTAGTTTGCCGCTATTTTGTCTCTGCACACTGAAAAGCAGTGGACCACAGCAATCAGAG